TTAAAAAGGTTACTTTAAAATATCGAAAACCAAAAAAAATAAAGAAAGGTTACTTAAATATGTATTTAAGGAAGGTAACTTAAAAATGATCGGTATTTAGAAAGGTACTTCTGTGTTGCGATAGCATACTAAATGTTGGTTTTAGGGGGAAATGGTCCGGGCTGACAAAAGTAACCAGGTACGGTAATAGTCCTTTCAGTTCCTCCCCAAACTAATTTGTATTGAAATTAAATCAACATGGAACCAGTAATCACTAACTTTGTTTCCCCCGGCCCCTTATTGGAGAACACCCAGCTAGTAACCTAGCAACCAAGCTTCAGTTTGCGGCAGTCAGAAACTCATGTATCTTCGAATCTACTTACAAATTAATATGGGGAAGTGTCAGTTCAACCATATTTGGTTGGAAAACATCTAATTTAGTGCTTGGTTGAGACCAGTGGAGGGGAACGTGTTTGAAGCCCGCCGCACCATTTGCAAAAGAAATAAGCGTTTGTTTTGCTAGTGTAGCGTTAAGGTGCAGCAGCTCCCGCAACAACAACGGGGGACCTCCGGGCGACGTTTGGGTCTACGTCAACCCTAAAAGCGGAGGTGCTGTAGATGCTAAATACCGTAGCTAAACACCAATCATACAACAGCAACAATGAAATAGTGTAGCCAATTTAAATTAAGGGGTAATTTCTCAAAATGTTCCCCGTGTGGTTTATTCACCATTACAATTGCCCCGCCTAAAATAATTTCCAACAGCCACCACTGCCAGCGACTGTATTCGCCATGACACAGACAGTCTGTGGTTTGTACTTGTTTAACTTTTGTCTAGTTTCTGAACAGATATGAGGAGCTGTGAGCTCTGACGGCTAACAGCTAACAGCTGATGTTGGTTTTGTGGTTCTCATTGAAGATGACGTCACGGCTCCGCCTACACTGCGTTCCTATAGTTACTGCCCCAGCTACTAAACTGTAATGGAAACGCAGCATAAAGTGAGCCTGGCCTACCAAGGCCTAACTATACCGTACTAAGCCGTGCGAGGCCTTGCAGTGGAAATGCGCCATAAGTAGCCAATATAAGGCATAGCAGTACAGATAAATGTTGGCTCACTATTTGGCAAGCAACCGGTCACAGTCGCCCTGTTTATCTCATGTCTTATAAAAACTTATTAATGATTTATAAAGTGTTCACAACCTAATTAATAAATAAGGGTAGTCTTATTGTAAAGTGGTACCGGTTTACAGGGCCATCCCTGGCCAACATGAGGCCCCACGCAAAGTTATATGATGAGGCCCTCTGTTTTGCGAGCGTCATGGTCGACGACGGGGGCTAGTGGAGCCTCGCAGCGGCGAAACCGCGCTGCGCCACACTAATTGCGCCGGCGCATTTTTGCGGCTCAGTTGAGGCACCCTCCGCAAGGTGAGGCCCCACGCAGTCTGCATGATCAGCCTGTAGGGAGGGACGGCCCTGCCCTGCCGGTTTATCTTGTTTTATTTCAGTTAAACAGTTTTAAAAGATGACCCCCATGAGGTGTTGCAAGATTGTGCAGCTTTTGCACATGTGGGACCACTTTTCAGGTCATTTTCAGGGTTTTTATTTTTGTATAACAGTATCTGAACCGTCCTGAGAGTAAAGTGAGAAATAGAAATATTCGGTAATCCATATTTTAAGGTTTGGTTTTAATAACTGTCTCGCCCGTTTCATAAATTAAAATAAAGGGATTCTTTTATAGGAATTTATGTTTTTCAATTGATTTACAGATGAAAAAATCTAAGAAACTCAGAAATGTTCCACGTTCAAAACCTTATTTTCTTTTAGTAAAAACATACAAGAGATCAGACTTAGACAATGGTACACTAAATACTTATTGCCTCTTAAATGCTGCCATATTTCTATGTTTTCAGACCATTGTGTTGATGTTATAGTGTGCTGTTTCCAGTGTGAACAGACCCGGGCAGCAGCATGAAGTTGAGGCAGTCTGCTCGGTCCCTCTCAGCTTTATAGAGAACCGTTCTCTCCTCCACCAGGTTCTCCAGGTTCCTCGAGTACATCTGCAGGCGGCGGATCATGTTGTCTATGTAGCTCTCATTGTCCTGGTTGTGAATTTTACTGAAGGACAACATAAGGGAAACAAACACTTTAACACATACTGTATGTTATCCATTTCACAGAGCTCGGCAGAAAAAGGCAAAATGAAGTAATGAGTGAAAAGCATTACCTGATGATTTTCCCCAGACAGTTTTCCACCCTCTTAAAGTCCGGTCTTCTCTCTGGATCTTCTTCCCAGCAGCTTTTTATCAACATGTACACCTACGAGAGGAAGGTAACAACGTTTTAAATACTAAATTCAGACGACTAGAAGCAGATAAAGTTGGTATTTACTCACCTCTAACTCTTTCTCTGAAGCCGTCTCAAAGTTAAGGTCAGGTCTGAAGTACGACATGATGACCTTGGCAAGCTTTTCTGTTAGACACACAAACACACACACACACACACACACACACACACACACACACACACACACACACACACACACACACACACACACACACACACACACACACACACATTTATCCTCTATCACTATCATCTAGTACGCTGCAGTCTTGTCATATTCTTAATAGCTGCTGTGATGCAAGTCAAATTTCAGACTTGATCTGACCATTAAAGTATTATTGTATCGTATCGTATTAATATATCTCTTTGCTCTCATTTCACATCTTCATTTTCACAGCACTTTGCAATATTTTATAATCTTGTTTTTTTTCCGGTATACATACATAATGATGTGGTATTTAAAGGGGACCTATCATGCAAAATGCACTTTTTGATGTCTTTTCTACATAAAGATGTGTCCCCGGTGTGTCAGGGAACTCACGCAGCGTCAGAAAATAAAACCCTCTCTCTTTTCCTCCGTACCCAAATCTCTAAAAACGGGGGAAAAACGGAGTTCATCCAGATTTGCGTCCGATATGACGTAATATCTGAAATG